CCCACAACCAAATCCTATCCATGAGAAACCTGTGACCTGGGGAGTTCCACCAAGGAGGCATCTGTGACAGCTGTGGCCTTGTCTCACAGGGCCTGTCATTAGCAGTGGGTAGGCTTCAAACTCCTTTCTGACTTTATACTTGGTTTGGCTCTTGCAGTTGCCAGTTCTTGGGTCTATGTGCCCATTATGACCCTGATCCTCTGTTCTGGGCTGTTTTGGCCTGTGGGGACCTTACTTTGGTGCACAGAGTTGATATTGTGAAGTCATGAGAAATACCTAACCTTCCCTCTGCTGTGGAGGAGAATGTAGTTCCAACAAGCCTTCACATGTTCCAATTTTAAAGTCAGGTATAGTGTTTTACCCTTAATAAATAAAGGTCTGTAAAGTGCTTAACATTCAACTGTTCCATGGTACAGAAAAAAAAACCCACCCAGTAGTTTTGGGTATCTGTAAATGGGGAAAACTTTGAGAAACATCAGTATACTACACAGACATAATTTATGAATACATACTTGACTCAAGAATGAATTTCAGCCAGACACCTGATAGTATATAGGTGGGGTTTGTAACTATTTCTTACACTGAATGAAATTTCTTTCCTTTTTTTTTTTTTTAAAAAAAATTATTTCTATTTGATTGAGTGTTTTGCCTACATGTATGTAAGTACACCATATGCATGCAGTGCCCACAGAGACCAGAAGAAGGCATCAGATTCCCTGGAACTAGAGTGAGGAGTGGTTATTAGTTGCCACATGGGTGCTCTGGAAACCAAACCCAGGTCCTCTGCAAGGGCAGCCAGTACTCTTGGTCGCTGAGCCATCTCATCCCCAAATTTGTTTTCTTACTTGGGAGACCAGGCCTGTAGACTGATGAGCTCAGGGTACAGGCCAGCCCTGTACAGAACAGTCCCTTCTGAGCCTGTGAGATCTATCTTGGAGAGAGAGCCTGCCCACCTCAACTCAGGTTGCAAATGGCTGATAGGGGCAGAGGCAGGAAAAAAGACAGTACATTTGTTAAAATTGAGATTGTGGGCATAAGGCAAGTTGTTTCAATTATCAGACAGTTCATTTATTTTCTTGTTTGTCCGGTGAAGATAATAATACCTGATCTCTCTCAGAGTTGTTTTGAATATGAAAGAAAATCAATAAATATGAAACACTAAGAGAAAAATCACTCCATAAACACAAGACAGGTGAGACAAACACAAGCATTTCTTCCCACACTCCACCCGGAGATCAGGAGAGCTGCTTACTGGGTGCTTTCTAGGGCATGTATGCAGCTGTTTTCTGATGCTATCAGAAGCTGTCATGCATGGAAGGGAGACATGAAAGAACTCTGTAAATTTGGGTACTTGATTTTTTCCACTTGGCCCTTAACACTGGCAACTCTCTTACAAAGTGAAAAAAAAAATTAAAATCTCAGATGATCTCATAGGTGCTCTCACCTCTGCCAACAGATGGTGTGATTCACATACGTTTGACATAAATGTGCCCGATTGTGATGATCTGCCTCATTATGCTCTGTAGTGGCTTGGATTAACAAGGGACATGAAGCAAGACCTCTGATTAAAACAGAAGGCGGGAGTGGGCTGGTGCATGGTTAAGGAAAATGAACTGACTCAGGACTCTTGAATTTCTCATCACAGATCTGTAACTATGTGACATGGGGAGGCTGGCTGGGGACCTTCTACCACGATGCCTTCATTTGCATGTGTATCCTTAAAAGCATTATAATCTAGCCTTCCTTTGAGAGTAGTGTATGTGTGGGGGGATTAATACTTAATAATACTGAAGAGATAACCATCAGTGTACACTTCTCAATGCCTGTGACCCTTTAAACAGCATTCAGACTACCCCCAGAAATATTAGAGAAATGTAATCCCAAATTCCAGGGAAATCTACCCATTGCTCCTCCCTTCAGGTCTGCCGTCTTCCCTCCCCAGCACTGTCTAGCCAAATTTATGACCATGGAAATAGTTGCTGTTTACTCTGTCCAGCAGGAGTCACCATCTTGAGGCTATCAGACACTTGAAGGCTGGCTAGTAAGATGTCAGAACAAAAATTTACATTTGATTTCATTTTAACTAATTGAAATGTATATATGACGATAGTCCCTTGTGTTTAGTGGCTGCTGCACTGATGGTACAGCCACAGCCTGAGCCTTGAAATACCCACTAGGCGGCTGCATAAAGGTGAGGTGAGGAGGCAGGAGAAAGTAAAGTAACTATGGAGTAGTCTGCATCTTCAAAACAGCTTTTCAAGCTCCTCCCCACAGTAGATAGGTCAACTGATAACCAGGAGCAGAGAGTCAGACTCACAAAGGCATCCTCTCCAATTTGCTTCAACATACATTGGCTGTTTTTTTGAGTCTTTCATGTAAATTCTGTGACAGGAAACTCTGCAGTACATAATACAGAAACCGTTTCCAAGATAATACAGAAACACTAAGATCTCATCTGAAGCATTCTCATATCCCAAGAGGGCTGTGTGATGGTGGCTGGTCCTCACTAGCAGGTATCCTTACTCAAACTCTACACAGTATAAATAACTTGTTTTTGCACACCTTCATTTATTATCACCCATTCAGTGTGTGTGTGTGTGTGTGTGTGTGTGTGTGTGTGTGTGTGTGTGTGTGTGTGTGTAGAAAGATAGCTAGATAGACAGATAGATCTTTTTTTTCTTGAACAGGTTGTTTCCAAAGTGCAGTAAGCTCTAATGGGACAGGCATTTATTTGGTTACTGTCATTTTTTTGGGTGCCACCCAGTTCACAGTCAGGTGCAGCTGGGGCTCCATCAGTGCTTCTTGACAATGGACAAACGTCTTTTTGAGTCAATGGGACTTTTAGAGTTGCTGCATTTTAAGGTCCTTTTCTTTTTCAGTTCAACATATTCCAGAAAACAATGTGCCATCACCTTTGTAAGACTGGTTAAGAAGAGTTGGTTAAGAGCAGTCCTTTTATGAAAGGACTTCAGAATCGGTCATGTATTTTTTTAGGTTGAAGTCACAATTATTTCTGGAGAGATGGTTCAGTGGTTAAGAGCACTGACTGCTCTTGCAGAGTATCAGGGTTCAATTCCCAGTACCCACTTGGCGGCTAACAACTGTCTGTAACTCCAGTTCCAGAGAATCTGATGCCCTCTTCTGACCTTGAGCACTGTACAACATGGGTGCACCTACCTACATGCAAACAATACACTCATACACATAAAATAAAAATAATAAATAAAAAAAAGAAAACAGGCCCGAAGTCTGCAGGCAGTTAGATGATTACACAAGAAGAAGAAAGGTAACATGCTAAATGCATCTATGGGCCCAGTTTTTCTCAATAGTGAAATAGAGAATAAGAGTCCTTGTCTACACAATAGTCGCCTCACTCTGCTAAGGTCTAGTAAACATGGCTACCAGAAGTGGAGAAGGAACTTGATAGCTTATCCAAGTTGGGAAGATGGTGCAAGGACAATGCTTTCAAACAGGCTCACCACCAGCCCCACTTCCATGAGTCCCTACCATCCTCTACTTAGTGCCCTGAATGTATATGTCTTCTGAGATGGTTTTGAAACATAAAGTCATTTATTCTGGGACTGGGGATGCAGTTTAGTGGTAGACTATGTGTCTAGCATCCATATTTCAGTTAAGGATGAACTGGAGAGTAGAATAGATGGCCTTTTCTTTTTCTTTAATTTTTTATTTCAGAGCTGGGGATTGAGTGCATGCCAGGTAAATACTCTACCACCAAGTCACATACCCAGCCTTTCCACCCTCTTTTCCAAGTTAAGAAGTTTACACCAAACAGTACTTTAAAATAGTGATTCTCAAAGTGGGGTTCTGGGAGCAGCTGCCAGTGCATCACCTGGGAACTTGTTAAAAATGCAAATTCTTGGACCCCACCCTGCCTAGACCTACTAGAGCAGAAACTCTGGGGGTGGGACCCAGCCATCTGCATCACTAAAAAAATTTCCACGTGATTGTGTTGTACAAATGTTGAAGCTTTGTTTTAAACCAATGTTGAGATAGTTGAAAGCATTCAAGGCTGCACCAAACGAATCTCCCTGAAGGGCCAAGTCTTTCCCAATTCTATAAATAAGTTCTGAACAAGCACTAAACACTAGCAGTCCCCATTTCTGAGATCTGAAAGCACCTCCCCTCTGCTCTCCAGGGCTCAGGGCTGGGGTGGACTGGAGCTGCAGATCTGGGCCACACAAACTCATCTGCTTCCCAGCAGGAGATGCAGGTACAGAAAGGGGGAAGTGATACTGGAAATCTTTGAATTCAAAGATATCACTGAAATCCATCAATTTTAATTCTTCTCTCTTTGATACAAAACAAGCATTAGTACTTTCAAACCACTATTTCACACGCAATAATCAAAAGAAAGAGAGTGCTTTAAAAAAATCTTTTCAGGGAATTACTTTTAGAAAGTGTTCTCTGCATGCCCCCTCCAAGGTGAGTACAAGCCTTGACAGAAGGTAGTGCCTAGAACATTCACCTCAATGGCACACACATTCATTTCCCAGCTCCTTGACAAGTACCTCCTCCCTCCCCATTGCAAGACTTATGAACCATATCTTCTAGTCATCCACACAAGTACAGTTCCAGAGGTACAGGGAGTGTTGAGACCCTATTTGTCCAAATGCTTTCAAATTAGAATGCAACACAGACTTTATCTGCCCCAAGAACTCAGGGACAGAAAAGTATCCGAAAACCAGGGGCCTAGTATCGTTTTGTGGTATCTCTCATTATGAGACAAACCTCCATGCAAAGAAAAATGGCAACTCTGCTCAGTAACTTTTCTCACTTTAAACTGTACCTCTCATCACGACCTATTACGCCCACATAGTCATGTGCCATAGGCACTGCAGACTGTCTCCAACATTTCAAAGGTTCAGAAGCTATTTTTAAAGTCAAAATACAATCTAGGTTGCTCTCGTATAAAGCACTTTTTAAGGAAAAGAACAAAATAATATAGCAATTTCTATGCACGTGGGCAGTTACCAACTCACCAAAAGATTGAATGCAGCTGTCAACAAGATCGTCCAGGCTGGCTCCTTTGGCCAAATGTCCCAGGGACACCATCATTCGGAACTGGGTGATCTGGGCCAGGCTAGGCTGGGCAGGGAGAGGGCTGCTGGTTGGTTTGGTCTCTAGTCTTGCTTTGGGGGCAGCTCTGGTGCCATGGGAAGGTTTCCTGGGGAAAGGAGAGACTTAAGTGAGGCCAGGCAGAGCAGTTAGGGGACTAACTGGCAGCTCCAGGCTTTGAAGGCAGAGGCAAGAGAAAAGGAGAGGAGACAGGACAACGAATCCCTGAAGCCTGGCTGGTAGAAGGTACACCCCTCCCACTTGGCAAAAGCACTGAACGGACTGGTTGGCTGTTAAAGAGATATCAACCCAGCAAATGACAAGGTGAGATTTCAGGGCTGCAACTAGCATTCTTCCCCTGATTGTAAGGATTGCTTTGTCCTGCTGTCTCCCTGCTGGAAGGGGAGAGTCAGAGGCAAGACTGTATCTTGGCAGTCCTTAGCTTCTAGTTGCTAGGCTGCCAACTTGGGTCGTAAGGACCAGTTCAGTTGGTCTCATTTTCAGCTAGTTTCATCCACTTGAGCAATGCCAAAGATGCTAAAGGGTAGCAGGCCTCAGAAATACCTTTAAAAACAAGTGCAAGACTCAAGGGTGTGTAGGGCATGAGGGGTTTAGTGGTGCCATTTAGAATTTAAGCTATCTCTGCCTTTCTTGTAAATCTTGGTTGGTTTTTAAGAAAGTTTCCTTTTTGATAACACAAGTGATTGGTACGAGTCATTTTAATCACTAAACATTATTCCATTAAGTTCTTACTTGGGTCCTTAATGGAGAGACAGAGAAAAAGGAGAGAGAGAGAGAGAGAGAGAGAGAGAGAGAGAGAGAGAGAGAGAGAGAACCTCTGAGATAAGTGGCTTGTTTTAGAACTAAAGGCTTTGGAGCCTAGTGGATAGTCTTTTACGTTTGGTCATGACCTTATTGATTCAAATCATTTTTCCAAGTGTCTTATGCAATACATTTTATTTTCCTCTTTATTAAAAAGCACACAGAGATACACATATATCATCTCTGAAGATTTAATAATGATAAGAGCTGCTGCTGCTAACTTTTTGGGCATGTACTTAATCCTCCTTTGCAAACTATAGTTTATTATCAAAGGAGAAAAGAGGAAAAAGAAGCTAGACATACACTCTAGATCTGTAACTTATTCACCACCCATTACAAGCACAAAATGGAATCAATTAACCAAGCACAAGTTATTACATTGCATTAGACCAGGGGAGACTGTAGTCAGACAGTCTTTACATTTACTTTATAATTTACTTATAAATGATCCAACATGTTTATCACATATTCGTTATTCTCGTATAAAGGCATAGGGGAGTCCCTGAATACAAAAAACTCCGGTTGGAGAGTCTGACTGAGACAAGAATACAAGCACACAACCCCTAAATGAGGGTCCCAAGAGCACCTCGGGAAAGAAGCATGATCTTCTCAGAGGAGGGAAAGCAGTTTCCAGGGACTGTGTGGAAGAGCTTCTCTGACCTCACCCAGAGGGGGCTGACAATATGCTTAGATCAATAAAACACCCTGGGCAGATCTTGAGTTTGTGGACATCAGCTTGAAAAAAGACAGTACTCTAAACATGGACTATGCCACATGACCAGCCTGTGAAAAGGCACACCCTGGACCCTACTCCCTCCACTGAACGTGGGTCACACTACACAGTGAGACTCCAAGGAGACCCTTTGGTCCCTCCAGTTCTGTTCTAGCCCCTGAGTATTTGTCTGTTGTGGACATGGGGCTCTGTTCCTGCCTAGGGAGTAACTAATGAAATCTAGTCACCCTGGTTACTATGTATCTGCTAACCCAAGCCAGTAACTCCCAGAAGATCAAGTTAGTGTTACTGAATTCCATCAAATTCTGGACATCACTGCTTTTTATCCACGTCACCAAGATAGCCTCAGAGTCAGACTAGTATCTGAGAACAAATAGGTAGTTTGAAAACAATAACTGTACAAAGTGAGTACCCATGCACCCAAGGCATTGTGCCCAGAAAGATGCTGCTCTACCACATGATGCTGAAAGTGAGTCCAAAGCAAGCTGAGTCATATGGACCAGCTCTGGGCTTGGCACTTGGAGCCTCTTAAGTCTTACTCATCTAATAGGATTTTTTTTGAGTCTGAAACTGTGTGCTTTTCACTGTGTCAGAATTGGCAAGTGAATTGTCAAGAGGCTGACAGAGTTTATTTAGTGTAGAATGAAAGTCAGGTGCCTCTGAAGGAGTGCTAAGAACATACAGGTTGCATCTCAGCTATTACTTGTTCTGTGGGTTCCTGGAATAGTCCTTGGGACCCCCGAGCTGGCAAGACCCTTCAAAGTCCTTTTCTAAACATCCGTGTATGTTATGTGGAGGCCCAGGTTTGGGAAACTAGTATGTCTGGCCACCAGTGCAGAGCAGGCCAGCAGCATCCTCAGCCCTGAGCCACACTTCCCAGCCTGGCTGCCTTCCCTTCCTAGAAGCACTGACAGCTCTGCAAACCTGGCCCAGTACTGGGGCTCTCTGCCTCAGCTGCTGCTTTGGACCAGTTAAGTCTGAAACCAAAGGTAGTGAAAATCCCTTCCCTGGGCAAATCCCATTCTCACCCAGGTCTACAGAAATTTTCCCTACACCCCAGAGAACAGACTGGAGCTCTCTCTTTCTTTGTGGGCTACGGAAGTAACTAAAGATCTGAGGAAAATTCCATTTTCTTTCTTGGCTAGTGGCATTGGCCACTCAAAATCTTCAATCTGCCTTGTTCCAGTAGTAATATGTTTTAGTGTCCCCAGCAAGAAAAACCCACTTTGGTTCATAGTCTCAAAGGTAAGTGCTTTACTAGAATTAGGAGTCCCCGGGCATGAGAGACCAGGGGAGAGAAGGTCTTAAAAACCAATGGTGCCCTAAGGGGTACAAGCTCTTTTGCTACACAGTCTCTTTGCCCTAGAAAATTTTTTGAATCAGTTCTCTCCTTTTTTTCTTATTCCTTGTTTTGTTTTGCTTTTTGTTGTCTGATTTTTGAGACAGCTCTTACTCTGTAGCCCAGAGTGGCATGAAACCCTCTTCCTGCATCTGCCTTCTGGGTGCGGTGACTGCAGGTATACAGTATCATGAGAAGCTAAAAGAAAGCTCCCCACCACTCCAGAATCCCAATCTTGCGGTATAGCCGAAGGGAATGAAAGCAGTATCTTTAAAAATGTTTCTTTTGTGGTGCTAGGAATCAAACCCAGAGCCTGGCACAGTCTAGTATTCTTCACTGAGCTCTACACCCCCCAAGTCTCTCTCTCTCCTCTCTCCTCAATCTTCTCTCTTTTCTCTCTCTCTCTCTCTCTCTCTCTCTCTCTCTCTTTCCTGGTAAAATGGTTATAGATAAGAATTTATAAAATGCTTTATAATAGGCAGTTTTGAGGGTGTTAGTTTTTGAATTAAATAAAACAACAAAGACTTTGAGAGAAACACATTAATTTGAAGGTGTTTTTGGAGCCCCATGGTGGCTAAGGCCCCAGGGCCTGCTGAGGGAGGTTGTTAAAAGTATGAACTGGTTTGGATGACTTCCTCACAGGTATCCCCAGTGGCATCTCAGTTCTGACCTAAGCTTATGAAACCCAGTCCAGAAGAGCGAGGAAAGAGATAAAGGAAGTCTACACTTTGTTTTGAAGGAAGGGCAACTTTCATTGACTTCTGCCAGGACTCCTTTCAGTCCTGCCCCATGTTCCCCACAATACAGAGTCACCTTAATGGACAGAAATTCTCTCATGTGTGGTGCAGAGTGCATCCTCACGGGGGTGACTTGGCCGGAGAGGGAGTGTGCAGGGCCCAGAACCTTAATTCCAAGGGATCAGAAGCACAGAACTGCACAGCTTCCTGCCTCTACTGGGTATAGTTGTGCAGGTTGGGCACTGGGCAGTCCCTGACCCCTCTAGGATTTTTGTTCCTACCAAAAGCCCAGCTGCTCACTGTCACTCGTCATTTCCCGTCCTTCCAAGACTCTTCCAAAATCTCTCTAGAAATGCAGTAGGGGAGGAAGGGAAGGACAGGCGTGCAGACCACAGGACTGGAAACTTCTTTTCTCCATGGGGCAGCCAAACACTGCGACCTCTGCCAGCCAAGGCTGTGGGGCCGCCAGGTGGCGCTGCCTGGGCCCAGCGCTGGCAGCAGGTGCTAGGGGCGCAGAAAGTGTGCGTGTGGGGTAGTCCTGGCTGCCCAGCGGGCAGCATCCAAGGAGGAGCCGGGCTGCGGGACGCTGGGAGAGTAAAGGGTTTGGGCCCTCCACACGCCAGATCTGGCCGGGAGACTATGCCGCCCTGGCAGCCCCATCGTCCTCTTCCTCTAGCCTCGCTCGGGACGCGTCCGCCTCCCGTCCATCCGTCTCACCCGACTTCAGCCCTGCCTGGGATCGCTGGTCCTCAGCCGTGGGACAGCCTGGCCTGCAACCGCCCTCCCCCGTCCCCCGCCTTTCCATCTCGGAGGGGTCGTCGGCACAGCTGTCCCCTCCCAGGGAAAGGAGCGGCGCTCCCAAGCGGCCGCCGCTACTCACCGCGGAGCCTCTCTCGCCTTGCCCAGGGTGCCCATGGCCGCGGCGCTGCGCTCCCAGAGCCGGCTCACTTAGCGCGGCGGGACCGGCTTGGCCGGGTGCTGCGCATCCCTCGGCTGCGGCTGCCTAACCGGGTCTCCGCCGCCTGCACTCGCCGCCCGGAGTCGGCAGCTCTCCTCTAGACTGCCGAACGGTCCGAGGCAAATCCGCAGGCACAAAGTTTGTGCGAGCGCGCTCCCTCCGCTCGCGCGCGCGCGCACACACACACACCACTCACACACACTCGCCCGCACAACCACCTGACAGGCTGATGTTATCACCAGCCTGGAGGAAACGTGGGGCGCCCTCAGCTCTTCTCCGAATCCTGCCCCACTGCTCCGTCGCGCCCCGACGCCTGCGCCGCTCTCCTTCCTCCCTTCGCCCCTGCCTGTGGCTCGTCTCAGCCAAGGGGTTAGGTCCAAGTGGTGCAGCGTGGGCTCCCCTGGAACCCACCAGGCCAACGCCTTGCAGAGGCGCTGCCTCCACCTGAGCGCTCGGAAACCTGCTTCCCCTGGCGGGGAGGGGGGGTCTCTGCTGGACCCCCTCCCCCCATCGCAGATCGGTGTTGTTTGTATCAGAGTGCAGAGTCAGGGTCGCGGCCAGGAACAGCCACCGCCGCGAGGTTGCCTAAACCTGCGCACGTATTCTCTTGGCACACTTTCCAAGACCTGGCGTAGATGTGTGCACTGCGCCCTAAAAGAGATGCCGGGTGTAGAGGTGTGATACATACCTGGCAAGAGGCAGCTACCTGACGTCTGTGGGTGTGAGAGATCAGGGGAGCCAAGCTAGGGTGAAAGGGGCTGGGAGCGCTTTCACGCAATGTTAGCAGCCAGCAGACCTTACCAAGAGGGCGGCCTACCCCCTGCTTGTCCAAGGCACAATAACGGTAATAACAGCGTTGCATCATTTAAGCTGTCCCTCCAGAACCAAAGGACCCACTTCCTAAGAGATGAGAGAATTTAAGATTTAGAGAACACCAAGGCTCAGTCAGTAAACAGCAAAGAACTGTGACCCGGGCAGACATCTGCCAGGTGCCTGTAGTCCCTGTTGGAATGGCTTAATAACGCACTCCTTATCGCCCTCACAGCCTCATGCTTTAGCAGCCACTGTGGCACCAGCCACGGTGCTCCAGACAGTAAGATCTCCTTTTTCCTATTTCGCTCATGTATTATCTCATATTTATGTGCCACATTATCCTAAAAATGAATTCAAGATCATTTAGAAGAGTACATAACCTACAAAAATAAGTGAGCAAAATGAAAAATAGTGTCCCTAAAAATGGAGCCAGAAATGAATACTCTTAGAAAATCATGTACCAACACACACACACACACACACACACACACACACGCACTTTTAGAATAGAATTCAATGGACACATTTGCTTCTATTGGGTCAGTTAAGCAGTTAAGTCGAAGAGGGAGGCCTGAGCTAAAATTCATTCCCTGATAAATGTAAGGCAAAAAAAAAAAAAAAAAAAAAAGGGTTCCAAAAAATTTTTGTATTTTTTAACCAAAAACGGGGGAAAAAATTTTTGTTTTACTAAAGAAACAAAAAAGACCTAAAAACTAACCAATAATGTCTACAAAGTAATCCCACAAAATCATACAATAGTGGGAGGAAGAGAAGAAAAGGATAAAGAAGAAAAAAACCCAACAAAAAAAAAGGAAAAAAAAAAAAAAAAAAAAAAGTGTTCCGAGAAACTTCTGTAGTTCTTGACACAGAAACGGGGAAGAAATTTCTCCAGAGGATGCTCCTGAATATTGCGTAATATAAAGAGCCGCGTCCCTGAGTCACAGCCATGGCCATGCAAGGGCAGGTGGATGCATATTAATGACTCCCTCCCTGGAAATGGGGCCCTAAGATTCACACATTTTAGAACACTTGAATAGATTCCCTCCTTCTTGTGAGTCTTACAACTCAAACCAACAACTCCACAGATGTCTGAGAAGGGTGAAGTTCATACCCACATGAGTCCAGCTCTTATCACCCCTCCTAAATTTCTGGCTTTGGTTTTGTTCATGGAAGTCTGTAGTCGGCAAGTGCACAGTTATCTTTCACCGGCCTTATCCCAGAGCAGGCTCCTTAGCATGTCTGCTCAGAAAGAATCCATTACTTCGATTGTCTATTGCTGTATTATAGCCCAGGACCCTGCTAATTCTGCATCTAAGCTGTAAATTATTTGAGATCCAGGGTTAGGGCTCATGTTTTCTTTAGCTTCCACAGAGCAACCAGCCCAGGCAGCACGTGTGGCTCATTGTTAATAAGCTGTTGTAGATTTTATGCTGAAGTTGGAATATAGTGACCTTAAAGAAGAAGAGAAAGGATTCATGTTTTCCTATTAAGTCTCTTAGCTACAGAAAATTGGTAAGCTTGCCAATATCACCTTTGTACCCTCTACCATCCACCATTTCTACCTTGTTTCTGTTAAGAACAAGCCTCTCTGCTCCACACTTACAGTTGTAAGCTGCCAGGTGAGTGCTGGGAACCAAACCTGGGTCCTCTGGAAGAATAGTAAGAAGTTGCTCTAACTACTGAGCAATCTCTGTAGCCCTGGTACTGAGTCTTTCAACAATGAAGATCTTTGTATATGTCAGGGAAATAGTCCAGACCTATGCTGATGTACATATGTGTCTATGCAAAATGACTTCACATGTACCTTCATGTAATTGTCTGATTTATTTATGTGAATACATAGTTACATGTATGATTGGGCTCCTGCTATTAAATACATGTAGACCACACCTCTACCTACCTGAAGTCCATTACAGAGAAACTGAAGTCATTAGTTCATTCATGAAATGAGTCCCACCAAGTTTACTAAAGAGGCCTACGTAGGTTCCACAAATTCATTTTCTTGAGCTTCCTGTGGATGCTGCACTTTATCTGCCTCTGCTCCTAGAGCACCTCAGTTTTTTTTATTTAATGTGTATGAGTGTTGTACCTGTGTATATAAGTGCACCCATGTTGTGTAATGCCATGGAGGCCAGAAAAAGGCCTTGGATCCCCTGGAACTGGAGTTACAGAGGTTGTTAGCCACCATGTGGGTGCTGGGATTTGAACTGGAGTTTTCTGCAAGAGCAACCAATGCTCTTAGTAGCTGAACCATCTCTCCAGTCTCCAAGACTACAGCTTTTTATTGAACATGTCACAAAAGTGACTTAATCAAAGAGGCCAAAGCCTAAGTTACCACCAGATGCCGTAAATCTTTTTGTTTGCCTCCAGGCTTCCCTCAGTGGGGAGGGGGAGGACTTTCTGGGGATGTGGTATGAACTTCTCAGCATGTCCACCAGTCCCACATTGAAGATGATGAGGCTCTGCACATGAGCACTGACCAGGACCTTTGCAAACAAGTCAAAAGGGTCCAACATTTACTCCAGCTGTATAAATGAGGACATTGATCCTATCTTGGGTGGTGGTTACCTCACGGTCATGCAAGATGATGACAGAATAGATGTTGGTAAACTTGGAGGTGAAAACAGTATGCAGGTTGGGGCTACCAAGCATAGTCCTAGATGGAGTGAGGGCCACACCTTCCTCGAATGGGGCACTCACCTGAGCCCTCCTATCTGAGCATCTGAAAATCAGAAGTCAGCTCCATCTTCCTCTTTATCTCCTGCCATTTGCTTTTTCTCCTTAGTGTATGGGGCATCTCTAACCTGGAAAAGAACGTTCTTTCCTTGTACCCAAGTCTTGAATTTTTTGTTGCTGTGTCTGCCTTTCTGATTGGGTACAATGTCTCTGTGGCAATCAATCAGGATCCATTTGATCTTTCTGCTTACCCTTTGCTGAGGTCATTGTTCTTCTCAAGCAGGTTTGTGGACCTTTGAGCTAGGGGAAGTAGCGTGTGAAGCCTCTGCAGTCCTAACAACATTTTTGCATGTTTTTCCTGGGAAAATGGATTTAATTTCCATCAGGTTTTCTGTATGCTCTGAAGTCAAGTGAGGCATTTTCAGTTTCCTTCATAGCTTCAGCAGGACCCATACATCTCTTCTGAGTATCCACCTTTGACACCTAATAGAGTCACATTTGCCACCATTACCCTTTCATTGTCTCTTCCTCTCTGCTTCCATGACCACATCCTGGTGGGGGCTCCCATCATCTCTCCCCTGGTTGTATGTAATAGACTTGTCACTATCCTTCTGAGTTGTAAGATCACCTTTCCATGATTCTTTCATTCCTTTCCACGGTGACCTCATCATGTTATTCTCTACTTCTAAACTCCCAGGAAATTTTCCACTGTCTAGAAAATAAAGTTGAACATCATAACCTTGTATACCTTCATGGCTGGGTGCCCTTCCAGGCACTTGACTTCTTAGGTTGCATCTCAGTCACTCCTGATAATTGCTCCTTGCTGTGCCCTTGAAAGCAAGTTTTTTTTTTTTTTTTTTTTTAACTTGGTTTTCTTTCTGCCTCCTTTTTCTTTTCTTCTTATAAAAACACACAAACACACAAACACACAACAACAACTCAA